TGTTCTCGCCGGCGCGCCCAGGGTCCTCGAGGATAGAAGAACCCCCTAACTTTCGGGGAAACGCAAGACCCGAGTAAGCCGGAACTCGGGTTTGCTTACTTTTTTTGACGAGCGCGTCCTGGATTTTGACGGTCCAGTTTTCGTGGGATGTCTGCAGCGGGAGCTCATGTCAAATTTCATATTGGGCCTCGTCATTTTTATGAGGGCCCCGTCGGGCCAACCCGAGTCCCCCGTACCCGAGTCTTACGTCTCCCCGAAACTTGAAAAGTCGGGCCTGGGGGCGATGTTCTAGCATTTTGTTGACCATCGTGGAGTTTGTTCTGAGTATGTTTCATTGTTCCTCCGAAATCCGCCTGTAGACGGACGCGCCCGACCTAACCCTAGCTCTTAATAATAGGATGAAGACGCAGCCTCACTGAGGTCCCCGTCCTTGCATATGGAATTACCCCAGTGCGACCCTACCTAGAAGTTGGAGCCCCTAGGAAAGCAGCATTAGTTGCTATGCCATGCTATGCTATGCTATGCTATGCTATGCTATGCGATGTTGTGCTATGCTATGCTAAGCTGTGATGTCATGCTGCGCTGTGGTATGCTAAGCTATGCTATGATATGTTAAGCTGTGCTATGCTGTGCTGTGCTGTACTGCGCTATGCTATGATACGCTGCGCGATGTTATGATATGCTATTATTGGATATGTTATGATATGCTATGCTATGCGATGCTAATGCATAGCTGCGCTATGCTACGATGAGCTAAGCTAAGCTAACCCGATAGACAGAGTCTAGGTAGGGACTTACACCCATGCTAATGCTTTGCGTTGTTGTCGCTGCTGTTGGTTTGCCTTTGCTTTGCTGCTCTGCTCTGCTCTGCTCTGCTATGCTGCGATGTGCTGTGCTGTGCTGCGCTATGCTATGCTATGCTATGCTATGCTTTGCGTTGCTGCGCTATGCTATGTTATGTTGGGCTATGCTATGATATGCTGCGCTATGCTATGCTATGCAGTGCTCTGGTATGCTAATTATCAGCGACGCTAAGGTGAAGGTACGCTAAGCTAAGATAAACCTGAGCTAATATGAAGCTAAGCTAAGCTAAGATGAAATAAGCTAAACTAAGATGATATAAGCAACGCTAAGCTAAGTGGACGTATCTGGGGGAACCGCGGGGCGGATCCTGGGGGAACCGCCCGGGGCGGGGAACATTGCCTGGCCCTTCTAGGCAGAGCCTAGGTAGGGAATAATCAATTTGGGCGGTCTGGTTCGATGCACCTGCAGAGAATAGAAACGCACTATATCCCCAATGTTTTCGGCTCTCCCATTTTAGGCCCCCTCCCAAAGGGTGATGGGATCCTTTTATTGCGAATCGTGAGAGGGCAGGCAGAGACGCCCGGCATTCTCCGAAGGCTCAGGAGGCATTGCCAGGCTTTCCGGGGGCGGCCAAGAGGGGGGTGATGACTAGGGGTGGGTGGATACCATGGCGTGGGCCATGATATTTCCTCTGATTTCATGGCGCCCCTTCTTCTTTCGTTACGTCCCTGGGTCTCCCCCTGGGCCGCGCAGATGCCGCCAGCCATGATTTGCACCCCCCCCTCGTTGACGCCCCCCTCTTGGCCGCCCCCGAGCCTTCTTGGAGGCCTTCCGACCCTTCTCCGAGGCCACAGAGGGCTTCTTGGGATCCACGCGAGACCTCTGAGAAGCCCCGCCGCCCTCCGAGCAGGCCTGCCCTCTCGCGCTCTCCCTCGCAGCTCGTCGCGGCTGCTTCCTGCACCCTGACATGACGGGCCTGTTTTCCACCACCACGATGATAAGTTGGAGGGGGATAGGAGGCGGAGGAGGAGGAGGACGAGGAGGAGGAGGAGGACCTCCTCCCCCTCCAACTTCTGGTGGTGGTGGTGGTGGAAAACAGGCCCATCATAACACTCGCCGATGTGATGCCCTCAATCCGCGGCTCTAGACCGCTTGCTCGGGAGGAGTTTTCTTTCCAGAGTCCACTTCTGATGATCCCGTGGGCCGAGCTCGACGAAAAGCGCCTATCTCACTGGAGGCCATTGAGGCACGGCGGCACTACGAATATTGGCAACAGACGGGTAGATTGTTTTTGCGCGAGCGTGCGTGCAATTGTGTGTTGCACTCGTCTGGCACATATGTGTGCACTTGTGTGTATGCGCGGCGTGGCACGCGTGCTGGGCTGGTGCATGCAGGGTCTCGGGTCTGCGGAGAGAAATGCCACGTCCTGAATTGGCTATGGCGTCGGGGGGGCGCGCCCGTAGTAATCACTGGCCTACGCCCTGCTTCGGGGCCGCGGTGCTGGGCGTGGCCGAGCCTACCACACTCGGAAGCCCTGAGACGGGGGTCAATGCAAAGGGGGGTCAGCCAGGGCACCGAATCCTACAGGATCTTGCGAAGACCCCCTCTGGCTCACCCGGGTTAGCGAGCCGCTCTTGGCCACGAGGCAGCCGCGCATGTTGGTTGACCCGGGTTTGCGAATCCCTTCGTTGCAGCTTTGATTTCTTGCATTGCAGTTGTTTGGTTTCCTGCTGCCTGGGTCTGATTGACCCGGGTTAGCAGATCCCCGTCACGCCAGCACGTCCACAGACTTCCCAGTCGGACGGGAGCACTCTGCAGGGGGCTGCGCGTTTCATTTCTCTTGCCCCATGTGGCCTCTCCGTGCCTAGGCCTGGGGCCACGTGCCTTTGGTGCCCCAGGGGGGTTGTGATAAACAGCGTTTGGCTCATTCCGAGACTGTGCTTCAGTGGGGCGTGTCCTTCTACAGGAGGCATATGAACAATAATTCAAACAAGCTTGGGAACGATTTTTTCTTGATTTTTTTGCTATGTTTGAACATTTTTGACTATTTGTCATTTTTCGTCCAAGACCCGCCTGTAGGAGGACATGCCCGACCTAAGACTGTGGCCAAATATGGCCAACCCAACGATGGGGGGGCGCCTGGTTTCCCATCGGCGTGGGCTGCCTCTCGCGTCGCCCCACGTGGTATTGCGTTCAGGGAGCGGTGTGGAGGTTTTCTCCGAATGGCTTAGGCGACCCGTCATCCTCCTCCTCCTCCTTCTCCTCTTCCTCCTCCTCCTCCTCCTCCTCCGCCTCCTTCTCCTCCTCCCTCCTCCTCCTCCTCCTCCTCCTCCTCAATCCCCTTCTCCTCCTCCTCCTCCTCCTCCTCCTCATCATCATCATCATCATCGTCATCATCGTCATCCTCCTCGGGTCGCCTACGGACCGGGGGAAACCGTGCAGGACGGTGTTGTATCGGGCCCCCTTGTCTGGGGCTAGTTTGCGACACTCTCGCTTCGCACTGCTATGTGCCGTCGTTTCAGAGTTGGGCGGGAGGGCACGGTTCGCTGCCATGCAGGTTTGGGGGCGATTCGGAATCTTCGGAATCCCCCCCCGCGCGTCTAGATTTAGTAGGGTGAGGCCGGCTGCCGCCCGATTACCAGGAGCCGACGTACTTTGTGCACGTGCAGGGGTTCGGGCTTTTGCGGATCCTACAGTGTCTCTCTTTGTTGTTGCGCGGGTGCCACGAGCACCCAGCTTGGGCTCTCGACCCTTTCTGAGTCTTGGGCCGTCTGAGGTAGGGGGAGGGAGCCAGGAGGCAGGGGGGAGGCCCAGGGGCGTCGCGCCCAGGGTGCAGGTACCGGTCGAGGCGTCATCTCTTAGGATCGCTTGTTTGCTTTGGGGTGCGGCCTTATACCGCACCCTTCTGGGCGGGGGTCTTGCACCCTGACGATGAGACCTGTTGCACCAGGTTGCGGTCTTCTACCGCACCTCTCCTCGACTGGTGGGTGCGCGGGACTGCGTCAGGAAAGTAACGTGTGACATGCGAGGTTCGGGGTAGCACACGCTGGGATATTCCAATGTTGCTTAGGAGTACGAGGGTTGTCTCGTGTGCGAGGACGGACGGTGCGTGTGGTGTGGGCGCACAGCGCGTGTGGTGCGTACCCGAAGTGTGCATGCAAGGCTGCGTGGAGAGTGCTAATATTCGATTTCTTGCTGATGCTGATGGCTCAAATCATCGGCATGCTCTTCCAGAACGGGCGTAGCAAGGTCCGAGATCCCGCTGAGGTGCCTTCATGGTAGAGTCGAGTTACCAAGGGGACCCCTCCGCCTTGTTACTCCTAGTCATCTCTCCCTCCCTCACCTCTTCTGCTCTGGAGGTTTTCGGGGTGGGGCCCGCCGCGGTGGGGCGGAGGATCGGTTGGGCTCCCCCATCATGCCTCTCCTGGCGCGGGGTCCCCGCCCCCGCCTCGTCGCGGCGCACTTCGCCCCTCTGGGTTCGGGGGCCGGGTGCGGCCGGGGAAGCGAAGGGCGGCCTTTAGAATTACATCCCCTTCACAAGTACCAGTGCCAGGAGGCTGCTGAGGGGATAGCGGCGTCATCAGTGGATGCCAAGGTGGGTTACATGTGGTCTGACCTAGCTTGCATGTGGGTTAGGAGTGTGATAAGCAGCTCAGAGGGGCAACGATCTGGGCTTTGTGGGCGGAGCTCATTTCGCGGAGTTACTCCCCTAAGCCACATGAGGCGCTTGCGACCCAGTTGTAGGGCAGGTTCGGCAATTCTCATCCACGCTGGTATCCACTGGTAGCTGCCAATCTCCTCTCAGCACTTCCCGCGCCGATCCGAGTGCCCATCCTGGCTGAGCAGAGCGGAGGTCGCAAGGAGGGACTTCGTCTCCATGGTGGACCCTCCTCCCCAGGATACCACGCTGGCCCTGCACCCTGGGATGCACCTCGCCTCGTGTGCGTCGCGCCTGGGCCGTCCTCCCCGGGGTGCACTCCGCTCGGGGTGCCTCCGTGGCGCGCTGGGCCCTCGGCGGAGGGGCTCAGGCCCTCGTGAGCTGCCCGCGCCCAGGGTCGTGCGTGAGCGCCCTCGCCTCCACCGTGGCGAGCGAACCCGAAGCCAGCTCGGTTCCGCCAAGTCTTTTGATAGAGCCTGTTTTTTTTAGACTCTGGCAAGTTTACTTGCATGGACGGGGAGGGGGGGGGGCTGAGCCTGAAGCAAGCCCGGGGGGGGGGGCGCGGAAATCACGCAAGTCGAAAGGCACTTGCACGCTAGTATTCGCTTGAAGAGGGGCGAAAGGGGGGGAGGGGGCGGCGAACGCCATGCAAGTAAACTTGCCTGAATCCAAAAAAACAGGCTCATAGTAATATTGCAGCTAGAGACCTGAAAATTGTACGGGCAGACGCGGCATAACCCACTACAGGTGCGAAAAAATCCGGTGTTCAAGACGAATCGTCAAATCCCTCAGAATCTCAACAAAAAAAACGACGCCAGGTCACCCATTGTCCGCCGCGGGCGGCCCGCCTGAGAGGTCACTGCGTCACCTCGCGTCGCCCATCGAGGAGGAGGAGGAGGAGGAGGAGGAGGGGGAGGAGGAGGAGGAGGAGGAGGAAGAGGAGGAGGACGAGGAGGAGGAGGAGGAGGAGGAGGAGAGGAGGAGGAGGAGGTTTCTTGGCTCCGCGCCGGGCCCCCGGCGGCGTCTCCGGCGCCCTGCCCATGGCGCGCTCCGCGCGCCAGGGAGGCGGGTGGAGCGCAGGTCCAAGAAATCCGCGCGGAGCGCCAAAAGGTTTTGTTTATGTTGGGTAGTCGAAGGCCAGACTGTCAGATTGGATTGGGCCCCAAGGGCCAATCTGGCCCGGCCAAACTGGATGATTTGGGTTATTCGCCAGACTGGATTCGCGTTGGCTCCCTCGCCAGATTGCCCCCGTTTGCCAGATTGGGCCTGCCAGATTGGCGCCAGATTGGCTTCGACTACCCAGTTATGGCATCAATTCTTCTTCTAGCTCGCTTTTTCGCGACCGTACCCGTCGCGAAGGTCGCCAGGAGGGACTTCCTCTCCAGGATGGACATGTACAGGCAAGCCTACGAGGCCGTCGGCGAGAGCTGCGACGAGCAGGACCCGCGCCAAGACTTTCCCTGGCCGCGGCACCTCCCCAAGAGCAAGGCTCGGTGGGCCGACGAGCGGGTCGAGTTGAGAAGAGAATTGTTATGCCTCCCGCGTTCGATGCGACCCCACTCGCTCGGACTCCAGTTGAGAGGAACAGCGCAACGAGCGTTTTGTATATTGTCTCTTTTGCTTCTGCTTCTGGGGCCCACGCCGGGCCTCGGGACCGCAACAGAAACGGCTCTGGATGAAAGGTCAGCCCCAAGGAAGAGGCCAGGTTCTCCGGGGGTCCGCGTTGTGAACGGACCACGACGACGAGCGGGTGCGGGTCTGGGGATCAAGACTTTTGTTGAGATTCTGACAGGCTTCTGGCATGGCATCCCCCCCTCCGCCATCAACGCATCCAGCGCTGGGCCGGAGAGGCGGTGCGCAGGGGAGTCCCAACTTGCGTGACGTCCAGCTCGTGTCCTCCGGGCCGCGCCACGCCCCACGCTCCAGCCGCTTCCACGCAAGCACCCTTAGGTCGGGAATGTCCTCGTACAGGCGCAGTTGGGTCGACAAATTAGAAATATTCAAAAATATGTAAGAACTAAAGAAACGATATTAAACAAAAAATAAAACACACACACACACACACGGATTATTCTGTTTCTATTTCTGAATACTCCTCTTGTAGAGGGACAGGCCCGACTTCAAAGTGCCTTTGCTGGGGTCTAGTGAAAAGCTGCCCGTCATGGCCGAAGAATCTGTCGGCGCTCCGGGGCAGGCCCGTGCACGGGACCTCTGTGGTGTGTGTGTGTGGGGGGGGGGGGGGCGAAGGCGACGGGGGGGGCGAAGGCGACGGGGGGGGGGAGAGAGGGGAGAGATGAGGGGGGAGAGGGGAGAGGAGGGGAGAAAAGGGGGAGGGCGAAGGCGAGAGGGGGGGGGGTGGGCCTCTTCCCTGAGCTTTTTCCGATGCGTCTCGCCGCAGGGGAGCCCTCCTCCGCTTTAAGGCACTTGGACAAGGGGGTGGACGTGGGCGAAACGCATATCCGTATCCGCGGCCTCGCGGGCCGGGCCTCTGGACCGCGACCTTGCGGATACGTTTTTTTGTTTTTTTATCGCGGATGCCCCACGCGGAACGTATCCGTACGACCGCGTGCCCGCGGGATCGCATCCCAAAATCCCGACCGCGAGGGCGCAGATACGGATATGTTCGCCGCTCGTGAGGTTGACGTGGGTGCTTTCCGGTCGGGCGCGGGGGGCGTCGTTAAGCACCTCTGCTGGGCCCAGGAGGAGTCCGGCCAGGGCCAGCGCGGTGTACAGCTGGCGCCCGTTGGGCGTCGCGTCATTCGGGGGCAACGACAGGGGGGATAGGCATAAGGGGGGGATGCATCGACCCCCTCGGAGGCCTATCGCCAATCTGCGGGCGATGTATCGCCGATTCCAGGTCGATGCATCCCCCTATGCCAGTCCCCCCTGTCGATGCCCCTCAGTACTGGGGGGGGCGATCAAGAGGGGGGGGCATCGAGGGCTGTAGAAAAGGGGGCTCTCTGGGGCCCCCGAAGGGGCCCTTTCCTGCCCCAAAGGGGGCCTTCGCGGTCCGAGGAGTGCACCTTTCTCACCCCCCCTTGTGTCAAATTTTCGCCTCCCCCCCCCCAATCCCATGACTCGGCGGCGAGCGAGGGGGGGAAGTGAGAGGGAGAAGCCTTCTCAGAAGGCGGCGGGACTTCTCATAAGCCCTCGCGCCTTCTGACAGGTTTCTGTTACGTCTTCGGGGAATTCTCCGAAAACTTCTCAGAATGCCGGGAACTTCAAAGTCTTCCGAGAAGGCCTTTTCTTTCTCACTTCAACCCCCCCGCTCGCTGCCGAGTGAAGCGACGCCCCAGTGCAGGTGGCGCCCGCGTGGAGGGACGATGGGGCTAGCCTTGTTCTCTGGCACTGCTTTCGCCCTGCTCGGGATCATCCTTCGCTCGCAGGCGAGCTTCTTCCCCGATCCCCGAGTTCTACTCGAAAAGTGTGGTCGCTCAGAAAATGGGGAAACTCTTGCATACAGTCCAGGGGGGCTATTCGGACGCACCCCTATCGAGGATGGACGCCCCCCCATAGTACATCCCAGGGTTGGGCCACAATTTTTTGGTACATTCGAGAACCCCACGAAGCCTGGGATAGGTGTAGAAATGTTCCCTGTAAGCCTTTTTTTGTTCGCACTGCTTTCGCCCTGCTCGGGATCATCCTTCGCACCTTGACACATCTTTGGCGTTGCCTCCACGGAGAAGTGGGGAACTCTTCGAAGGTAGGCCCGTAAGCCGACCTTAGTCATGCGTGGGACCCGCGGAATCCACAGCAGCTCGCCGGCGCGACTCCCGATTCCTTAAGCTCCAGCCCTTCAGTTCTCGTCTCTCCGACTCCAGCTCCGATCTTTCCGACTCCGGCTCCCATCGGATTCTGGCTGCGATCTTTGCATGGCGTTTCCCCCACCCTTCTCCTGCGCCGCCCTTTGAGACAGCGCCGCTCCGAAAAGGCGTGCAGGTGACTTTTAACTTGCGTGAAGTTCAGATTCCCCCTGGGGCCTCGCCACGCCCCCCCCTTCCGTGCAAGTACACATGCTGGAGTCCCAAGATAAATTGCCTCAAGATCTTTTTGATTGTATTCTGTTGGCCACGCTCGGGCATACTGGGAAGCTCCGGGTGCACCAGCGGGCGATCCTGACCGATTCGTTTCCACCCCGATTCTCACAGACGCTTCGGCCAGGTAAATACACAATCACACACTTTTTGTTTTTGTTATATTCCGTAATTTACCATGTTGAATGTCCCAGTTGAGATGCTTGTATGAGAGATTCATGTACCGTCAGTTTCGTTACGACCATGCCGCACCAAACATGTGTCATTCTCGGTGTCCCCAACTTGCGACATCACTAAGTTTATCTTAAGAAGCAGTATGTCCGGCTGTCTACCATGCGATCTGATAGGCGTGTTCGAGATGCCTGTTTGCGATGGGGTTCGATTCGGTCGGTCCGATTCGCAAAGTGACCTACAATGAAGCCTTTGAACAGACATCTGAGGGGAAGAGGGGTTACATGGTGGAGGAGATAATATGGCAGGAGCAGGAGCAGAGGGCAGGGGATTGAGGAGGGGAAGGGGGAAGGGGGAAGGGGAGGAGGAGGAGGAGGAGGAGGAGGAGGAGGAGGAGGAGGAGGAGGAGGAGGAGGAGGAGGAAGAGAGGGAGGAAATTGAGAAACACATCAGAAGAGGAGGACATGACATGCAACCGCCAACAGCGTCGATGTGCAGGACTCGAGATTGACAATATTTGCCCCGACGACTAGTTCCAAGGAGTCGAGTCGCTTGGACGTTCCACGTATTTTTTGCATGCCCCAGATCCGACATAGTGAAGGAATTGCAGCATCGAGAACAACATCACGACCAGAGCCCTGGACCCAATCTTCATGCGGCATTTGTTGAGCGGATCGAGCAGTGAAGGTCCTCTGGCCCGAATCCGGGCGAAACCGCACGGTGCAACACCACTGCGACGCCAGATGCTCAGGGGATTTCTTTGGAGGAGACCTTTTTTCAGAGTGGACGAGATCAGTAGGAGCCTGTTTTTTTTTGGATTCAGGCAAGTTTACTTGCATGGCGTTCGCCCCCCCCCCCCCCCCCCTCGCCCCTCTTCAAGCGAATACTACACTCCAGGCGATGCTTAAGAAAACCCAAGCTTTCGGCCAGAGTCTCGATTATTCTTAATTTTTCAATGCAAATCCTAAGATTTCAACAGAAATTCTGGGTGTTTATTCGAATTCTGAGACTCTGAGTCTCTTAACCCATGATTTCTTGAGCATTTCGCAGGGTGTAGCGTGCAAGTGCCTTTCGACTTGCGTGATTTCCGCGCCCCTCCTCCCCCGGGCTTGCTTCAGGCTCAGCCCCCCCCCCCCCGTCCATGCAAGTAAACTTGCCAGAGTCTAAAAAAAACAAGCTCTGGGGGAAGAAACACATAGACACAAATAACCGGCGACTCCCAGGAAAATGTGAGGAAATATGCGAAGTGGGGGTGAAGACGAAACTCCAGAAACTATGGAAAATATGGGAATCCTGGGAGTTGCGTCTGGTTATGTTCGTGTGTCCCCGGGCCCTTTTGCGAGAGACGGGGTGGGAAAGGCAGAGGTTGCGGCGAGACCGGGACGGGGCAGCTTCTCGGATCGGCGCGGGGGTTGTGAGGGAGATTGGGGGCTTGTGTAAGATCGGGCGTGTCCCCCTACAGGCGGATTGTGGAAGATTGTTCCCCAATCAGAGCTTGCCTCTGTAGGGGTCCTAGCGGATTCATATGGTTAGGTTAGGCTCGTCGCCGATTTTCGCGGCGCGCCCGGGTGCCCAGGTGCCCGGGGATGCCCGGGTGCCCGGGGGTGCCCGGGGGTGCCCGGGGGTGCCCGGGGGTGCCCGGGTGCCCGGGCGTGCCTGGGGGTGCCCAGGTGCCCTGGTGCCCGGGGGTGCTCTATAGCCCGGAGCCCAATAGCCCAATAGCCCTACAACTCTATAGACCTATTGCTCTATAGCCCTATAGCTCAATATTCATAAGGTTAGGTTAGATTTGCCGCCGATTTTCGCGGCAATTTTCGCACGCCCGGGTGCCCGGGTGCCCGGGGGTGCCCGCGGGTGCCCGGGTGCCCGGGTGCCCAGGTGCCCGGGCGTGCCCGGGCGTGCCTGGGGGTGCCCGGGGGTGCCCTATAGCCATATAGCCCAATAGCCCTATAGCCCTACAACTCTATAGCCCTATAGCCCTATAGCTCTATAGCCCTATAGCTCAATAGCCCCCTAGCCCTATAGCCCTATAGCCCTGATTGGGTTTTTCTCCGGCATCATTTCATTAAAGAACAAAATAATATTCCAAATTTGTTTTGAACGTAGCAAAACATGTTCCCATAATAGTTTTGGACTGTTTTGGAATATTCCTCCTGTAGAGAGAGAGAGAGAGAGAGACCGAGGTCAGGCTTGTGGATGCAAAGGTGGTTCATATTTGGCCCAACCTTTCTACCAATTGGGCTTCAAGTTCCCCAAGTGGTTTAGGGGGGGCTTGCGATCCTGGCTCAGTGGGCTCCGCACACTTAGCAGCGTTACCTGACACCCCCGTCCCCTTAGCAGCCCCCGCATCGATCCAAGCTGTTCCGAAAGCCATCCGCTTCGGGCGCCGGAATGCGCCCTCTTTGCTATCCACCTCTCTCGCCCGCCGCTCCGAATTTTGGAGACTTCGGGGTCGGGCTCGACCATGACACGGTGTTTGGGCGATTTCGTTGGCGGTTGTCGTTTTGACTTCGACCTGCAGCAGGGGCGGCACGAAGAGAAACCGAGGGAAAGCGAGAACAGATCGAAAACGACAAATTCTGGCCAGGCCGAGCCCTGCTTCACAGGGGCGGGCCCCCCCAACCGACACCCTCGGTCGAGGGAAAACGAACTGCATGAGCATGAACTGTCGGAGGTCTGCGCAGATTTCTAGGATTGACGAGGGACCCCCTGGAGTCGCCTCTGGCGTCGCCTCAGGCGTGCTTCGCGCGCCATTCAGAGGGGGGTCCAGCGCGGACTCGGGAGATCCGCCCAGACCGCCGAATATGAAACATAGTTTAGTCCGTTTTGAGCTCGTTCGTGTATACTTTCTGGCCAGCTTACTTGTCATGGCGCCAACGTCGCAGGGCGGACGGATTTCGCTAGGAAAACACTGGGATGTGCCCGGACTGTTCTGGAGAGTTTCCCTCTGGAAGTCGAAGTGAATTTCGTAAGGATTTTATTTGTTTGCCAGGAGTGAAGACTGCAACAAATCCACGTGAAGGGGTTTAGTATTGACAGACATCCACGCGAAAATTCGTGACAGCACGTCTGCGAGGTCGGTGCAGTGATGCTTGCATGGCATTTCCCTTTCCTCCTCCTCCCCCTCTTTCGCCCTTTTTCGCCCTCCTCCTCCTCCTCCTGCTCCTCCTCATCCGTGTCCTCGTCCTCGTCCCCCTCCTCTCCGCCGCCGTCTCCGATGGCGCTGGGCCGAAAAGGCGTGCAAGCGTGCCCCGACTTGCGCGAAGTTCGGTTTCCCGTTCGGGACCTCGCCTCGCCCCCAACCCTTTCCTCCATGCAAGGGAGCTTATCAGAATCTGAAAAACACCTGCATGTTTTTATTATTTATGTTGAGGGAGGGCTCTCTCTCTCTCTCTCTCTTTCTCTAGATCTAGACATACATATATGTATATATATATAAACACATACATACGTACGTGCACACATATGCATGCACACATACATGCATGCATACATTCATACATACATACATACATACATGCATACGTACGTACAGACAGACAGACCGACAGGCAGACAGACAGACAGACAGACAGACAGACACATACATCCATACATACATACATACGTACATACATCCATACATACCTACATACATACACACATGCATGCACACATGTATACATACATGCATGCATGCATGCATGCATGCATGCATGCATTCATGCGTACATACATACACACCTATGTGAATACACGCATTCATACATACATTCACGCGTACATCCATGCATGCATACATACATACATACATGCATGTATGCATACATACATACATACATACATGCATGCATGCATACATACATACATGCATGCATACATGCATACATGCATACATGCATGCATCCATACATACATACATGTATACATACGTACACAGTACATACCTACTTGAACATACATACATGCATACACACATACATACATACATACATACATACATACATCCGGACAGACAGACAGGCAGACAGGCATACGGACATACACATACATACATGCATACATATCTACATACACACATACACATATGCATGTATGCATGCATGCATGCATACATGCGTACATACATACATACATACATACATACATACATGCATACATGCCTGCATGCCTGCATGCCTGCATGCATACATACAAACATACTCACATACATACATACATACATACATACATGCATACATACATACATACATACGTACATACGTACATACGTACATACGTACATACGTACATACATACATGCATGCATGCATGCATGCATGCATGCATTCATACATGCATACATACATACATACATGCATACATACATGCATGCGTGCATGCATACATACATACGTACACACAAACATACATACGTATACACATACCTGCATACATACATACATGCATACTTACATACATACATATGGCTATGCACCTGTATATGTGTATCTACCTACGCCTACACCTACACATGTACATACACACATGTGTATATATATATATATCATCCGCCGAAGACTTCGGGGCCCGCCCGCCCCGATGCCGACCCCGTCATCTCCGCTCCGCCATCACCCCGCCGCCTCCCACCCAGGGCCGGGCGTCGCCCGAGAGCCGGCGCGACGGCGCTCCCATGCGGATCCCCCCCGGCGTGCCGTCGCTGATCGATCCCGGTTGGGAATGGTATGAGGCCAGGTTTCGGGCGTGGTTTTTGTTCCCTAAGGCCGTCGCGACGTCGGGTGTTCTGATCGCCCCCTGCCCTCCCTCCCTCAGAGGGCGACGTCTCCCTCCACCTGGGCACCCAGAACAACCCTCCCGGAGGGAAGGCGCGCCGGTCCTGTTTCTCTCTCTCTCTCGTGTCTCTGCTTAGCCGCAGTGTTTCTCTTCACATGCTTGAGGCCCCCCAGCTAAATTACAACAATACCCAGCCTGCCAACGTAATTGCCGAACAACAGGACGGATGTATTCGTTTCAGTCCTCGGTGTCTGCGGGCCCTCGCATTGCGGGCCGTAACAGAACGGCTCGGGATGATAACTTGGCCCTGGCCCTGGACTTCGAATTGAAACAGCCAAGGCAGCAGTTGTCTGGGAATGATACGATGCAACAGTTCCAGGTGTTCTTGTTGCCCCGCGCTGCCAGTGCTGAATGGCCAAGTGCCAGAACGTATCCGGAGCCAATCGCATCGTGACGTGGTTCTCGTTGAACGCCCGCCCTCCTCTGAGCGCCCTCCCTTCCTCCTCACCTCCGAGGACTTGTCGTACATAAAGATGCTGAACCTGTCTGCGCACGCGGGTAGCTTAGAGACCCGAGAGAGGGGGGGCCGACGACGCTTGCGATGGGGTGGCGGTCTGGAGCTTTCGGCGGGCGCCGACGGGAGGGGACTGGCTCAGGGACGGAAGCATCGAAGCCTGATCCTCCATTCCTTGCCAATCCGGGCCTGAGTGGCTCCGCCTGCCCAGCAGCGTGGGCTTCACCCACCGAAGACGCACCGTCGGAGCATCGGCAGTGTGTCGGAGGAGGAGGAGGAGGAGGAGGAGGAGGAGGAGGAGGTGGAGCATGGAAGAGGACGAGGGAAGAGGAGGAGGAGAAGGAGGAGGAGGAGGAGGAGGAGGAGGAGGAGGAGGAGTCACTGTCTCCCCCCCGGGAGCCGGCCCTCCCCCTACCCTGGCGGGCCCCCCCACCCCAGCCCTGGCGGCAGGCCACCGACTCCCTGGAAGGGCACGCAGACTCCGAGAGGGCATCGTCGGAGACCTGGACGGCTTGTAAGAAGCTCCGTGCTTTCTGAGAGCCCCTCCACCTTTGAAGGCAGCCCCCCTATGGTCCCTTTCGACCCGATCGATCCGATGCGACGGCGACGTCGGCCATCTCGACCCCGATCGATCTGGATGTTCAGCGAGCCTGTGCGGCTCGACGCCTGCATGGCGTTGTTGTGCATCCTGGCGCAGCCGATCCGATTCGATTTGGACTCCGTGCCGACGCAGGCCGATCCTGGTCTCCCTCGCGCTAACCCCCGGGGTGCAAGCCGCAGAGAACACTGGCAGGGGGTCCACGAGGTCCCTCTGGGCTGGAGTCTGGATACACCTCGAGCAGGACAACGAAGCACCACCACTCCGAGAATCCTCCACTGTTTCTCTCGATGGCGGTGCTGATGCCGTTTCTTCTCGGTCCTAGCGAGAGAAGGGACGACAAGGAGGCGGAGGAACTGGTGAAGAGGAGTTTGTTGAGGAGCAGGAGCTGCAGGCGAGGAGGAAGACGTAGCACATCGCTGGCACGCTAATCGAGGGGATGCCGCCCTCACATACTGGCAGAGTTGGAGCAGCCTCTTTCTGTTTCCTGTCCGCGCTGTAGCCGCAATTTGCCTCCATCTGTCCCGTTTTTTTATTGGGGGTTGGCCTCCGCACGCCTGGCTGATCATTGCCTGCAGTCTTTTTGCTTGCGTCCGCGCAATCGCCGCAAGTTGCCTTCATATGTCCTCGTGCCGGAGATGGCTGTTGGTCCGCACCCCAGGATGTTTTTTTCGTTGCAGCCATGTCTGTCCGTCCATGTGGTCGCCGCAAGTTGCCTCCACCTGTTGCCTTTTGGGAGTCGGTCGTTGCACCGCACCCTGCTTGGACATGTTCTTTCTTCCAGGGCCTGACCTGCCCGGAGCACATCCCCATCCCATTGACCGACGTCGTTGGCATCACCTCATCGTGGGGCCGATCGTAAGGATCCTCTCCAGTTTCCGAGAGCATAATCTTAAGTCGGGCATGTCCCTCTACAGGAGGAAGCTCCCAAATAGTCAAAAAGTAGTATGTGGACGATGGTTTGAGTATTTTTTTGACCACTATTTAGAATATGTCCTCGAACTTCCGCCTGTAGGAGGACAGGCCCGACCTACAGTCGGGGCGTTGACCTAAGGAACCCTAAATATGGAACGAGGCCCCTTTTTTTCCATAAGTTAACCTTCGATTTCCTGCCGAAGAAAACACAAGGAAAGCCTGAGGCAAGCTGCGATACACTTGAGGAACGCGGAGCCCCTCCCCAGCGAAAAGGGTTCCTTCTTCAGGGCCCCGACTGTAAGCATAATCTGAAGGCCCCCTGGTTTGAGTATTTGTTGTGACCATTTGAGGGTGTTTTTTTACTATTTTACAATTTGTCCTCGAGATTCCGCCTGTAGGAGGACAGGCCCGACCTACGCATAATCTGAAGGCCCCAAGGGCGCCCCCCATCGGCCGCGCACGTGCTCCGTGCCCTGCTGCGCAGAGCTCCTCTTCCCGCGCCCCCTCTCTTCGACGCAGCCCGCGGCAGCGCCGCCAGGGGTGCAGCCCCGGCCCCATTTCGGTTCCACCCCCATTTCGGCACATCCCTCACACGTTTCGTGGCCCAATAGGGAGCTCTGCCGAAGGCCCCAACGGCAGCGCCCGCATGCAGATCCACCCCCGTCTCGGCACACCCCTCACACGTTTCGTGGCCCCATAGGGAGCTCCACCGAAGGCCCTAACGGCAGCGCCGCCAGGGGTGCAGCCCCGGCCCACGAGAATGTGCGGTCGGACTTCTATTGACAAGTCGGGAACGTTTTTCTACAGGAGGAGTGTCCAAAAATAGTTGCAAAATAGTGTTGGGACGATTTTTTTATTTTTTTGTTGAGCATTTGGAGGCATTCCTGGGTTGATTTACATTCTTTCGCTAAAAATCCGCCTGCAGGAGGACCTGCCCGAGCTAAGACTCACGTTTTGTCCATGTTGACGCCGTTTTCTCTGGCCTGCGGTGGTTCGAAGAAAGCCAAGCTTTATATCCAAACATTCTCAGTTCCGCACGAGTTTGTTTATTGGTTTGCCGATCGGCGCGGGCCCTCGCACACCCCCCCTCCCCCCCCCCCCCCTGGAGTAGATTTTGGCTGTTTGGGGCGCCTGTTTCGAGCAGGTGAAGCCTCCCCCATATGGACGCCCTGCTGCAAACAGTCGCACTAAGCAGAGGTCCGGAGCCAGATCTCCCCCCCTCCCCCCCCTGCCTCTCAATGTTGAAACGCCGAATACAAAAACGTTCACTTTCTCGGATCTCCAGTGGACCCCCTCTGACAGCGTCTTGGCGCCGGCCTTGGCTCACTCAGCGCGCCAGGGAGGGGATCCAGCGCTGGTCTAAGACATCTGTGCGGCTATTCGCGAGCTCATTTATATGCATATGTGTCTCTCTAGTGATGATTGGGCGTGGGTAGGTAGTAGGGGGTGTCTAATGCCAGTCTAAGACATCTCGTCGGGCTTCCGAAGCCCAGCCTTTTGCTGGCTTGCTGTTGATGATCAGGGGGGCGTCCGATTCTCCATGCCGGGCGTAGGCCCCAAGCCGACGCGGCGACCCGATGTCGATTGGATTCGGTGCAACTCGCTGGCGATCCGATCTTCTGCCGATCCGACCCGATGCTGCGAGTCGACCCAGCCAGGCCTCCACAGTGGGCCAGAGCAGATGAGGTCGCAGAATCGCGCGCCACATCGCCCGTGCGTCGGCGATGGGGGTCGATGTGGAGCCAGGTACTCTCCACGCCGACGTTGCCGGTGCATCGCCGACGGCACCGGTGCATCGCCCATGCATCGGCGACGCGTCGGCGACGCGGCCGGCGAGCCTCCGACCTCAGCTGCCACACGACCAGACATGGACGGTCTTGTTCTGCAGCGCGGGGCCCCAGGAAGTCTGACCGGGCCGCGCGGAAGTGCAGGATAGGGAGAGGGGGGATTAGAGAAGCTGCTGCATTCAGCTGGTTTCCGCTCCGCCGCCTGGCCCATTCCTCGATAGTTACATTAGCGCCGCCCGGCGCCAGGAGGCGCGAGGAAAACCAGCTACGCGAGTTGATCCTCTACCCTGCCCTGGGCTATCTGACCCTTTCGTCCGCCCCGATCCGCCCAACCTTCCCGCTTCCCAGGCATCTGATGTTGTAATCCGTGCCGCAACTTGGCGCTCCCCGAGGTCTGGACCTCTCCCCAGGGGCCGGCTGTCCAGCCCGAGTGGTCTGTGGACGTTCTTGGCTCCTGCGAACGGCACCCGAAACAGAAAGTTGCTCAAATTTTGGCATTGGAGGCCAGGTTACGGGGCATTGTGGTTTTCCTTAAGCGAACTCTCGGTTTCGTCATAAGCGTGGGGGGGGGCCCCCCCGACGGGAGTCAACCTCGCCTCGTCGTCGCGCCGCGACGGGGGTTGGAGCGCCTTCGGCGCGCGGTGGCTGCCCGCGACGGGGGTCGATGAGGGGCCGTCGGCGTGGGTGACGCCCCCCCGACGCTCATTAAGAAACTCGGAGTATGCAATGTTTGCCAAGCCAGCGCATGCTCCTTCTGCCAGACAGCTGGTTTGTCGAGCGCCACCGACAACTCGAGCGCCCGTGCGGATTGCCTTTTGCCGTGCCGCGGCGAAACAGTTCCTAGCAGCATAGTTATGAAATGCAGGTGGAGTCAATCTCCGTGTCGACGTGGTGCAATCTTCTTGGTGCAGTCTAGGTCGTGCACAAATTACGTTGTGCAATCTATGCGGTCCCATCGAGATGGTGCAATCAATGTGATGCAATCGAGATGGTGCAATCCATGTGGTGCAACCTGTGTGGTGCAAGTCATTGCAGGCCATTGCAAATCAATGCGAAGCAACGCAACGCGAGGCACTGCAACAGTGCACATCCATGCAAGGCAAGGCCAATCAGTTCAAAGCAACGCAAAACAAACAGAGCAAAACATATCCATGTAATCAACGCAGCGCGCACTGGAAACGAGCGCTGCGCTGGAAAGCTGGGGGGGGGGGGCGGTCCTCGTCCTCCTCCTCCTCCTCCTCCTCCTCCTCCTCCTCCTCCTCCTCGTGACCAAAAACAAAACAAATCAACGCAGCGCGCACTGGAAAGCAATGCGTAACACCGCGGAGCAAAGCCAACGCAAAGTGTACTTCCGAGAAAGCGGGCGCCGCGGCGGCGGCGACCGAGCGGCGACGGGGGCGACGGGGCGGCGACAGCAACAATATAGCCGCCAGAACGACGCACAGGCTCAGACTGGGTAGTCGAAGGCCAGACTGTCAGGTTGGATTGGGCCCCAAGGGCCAATCTGGCCCGGCCAAACTGGATGGTTTGGGTTATTCGCCAGACTGGATCCGCGCTGGCTCCCTCGCCAGATTGCCCCCGTTTGCCAGATTGGGCCTGCCAGATTGGCGCCAGATTGGCTTCGACTACCCAGTCAGACGACGGGCGGCGATGAAGCGGCGACGGGGCGGCGACGGCGACAACATAGCCGCCAGACCAGCCCTCAGGCTCAGTTACTGAGAAAAAAGAGCCTCTGAGTGCAAGCACCTGTTGGGGAGTGCGCCGCGAAAGCGGATCGGAAGATGGCAGATCGGCCACGGGCCAATCCTTGACCTGGAAACGTCACAACCACGGCGCCCAAAAACGTGTACAACATGTGGACCTTGAAAACGGAACAAGCAAGCACACGTCCTCAGCGAAGCCCCCCCCCGAGGAGCTGCGCGAGGAGGAGTTGAAGCCTTGAGACGGGGGTCAGTGCAAACGGGGTTCAGCCAGAGCGCTGGATCTTTCAGGATCCCGCAAGGTCAGGGTTGCATCGACCCAGGCTAGCGCGCAGGATTCTGCAGGACCCTGCAGGATCTTGCAGGATCTTGCAGGATCCTGCAGAGCCCGACTGACCCGGCCTTACACTGACCCAAGTCAGTGCGTCCCGGAGAGAGGCGGGGCCGGGTGCCTTGGGCGTTGCGTAATAGGGGGGTCATACATGGGGGGGTGGCGAGAGTGGTACGAAAAGGTACCCAAACGGTACCTAAACGAGCCCCCTGGGGCTCCGGAGGGGCCCGAAAGGGGCACGAAAGGGGACCGTTTCTGACCCCCCCATTTGTGACCCCCCCGTTAAGCCACGCCCGAGTGCCTGAGGTCGAGGTGCACAAGGTGTACGGGCGCGCGACGTCGAGCTTGTTGCCCTACCTGATGGCCGTGCACGCCGCCGGCTCAGAGCCCACGGGCTTGCCCCGGGGGCAGCGTCAGCGAGGGACTGGTCAGCAGCGAAAGAAGGACGTACCGTCGGGGCCCTGAAGAAGGAACCCTTTTCGTTGGGGAGGGGCTCCGTGTTCCTTGAGTGTTTCACAGCTTGCCTTGGGTTCTCCTTTGGTTTTCGATAGGAAATCGAAGTTTAACTTGTGGGAAAAAGGGGCCTCGTTCCTCCCCGACTGTACACGTGCATCAATTCACGTTGGTTTCGAAAATACGAGTTGCGCGAACGCTCGTATCCTGAGGCTGGTCTCGCGGACTGGAGGGCCGTATTCATGTACGTGGTTGGGCGCGTGCGTCCGTTGTGGGCTCCTTACACCGAAGGGTGCATCGACCTTCGAGCCGGCTGGGGGTCTGAGGTGGCCTGGCACTGGGTCCGGCGAGCAAAAAGCGAGAGCAAGGTTCGAGGTTTTGGTTTCGAGGAGGTGTTTTTTTTTGTGTTTTTGTCAGTCTTTGGTGGCAGCTTTTCAACCCCAGGACCTTCAAGAACGGATGCAGAATGAATAATTGCACCAGGTGGACCCCAGGAGGGTTCTGGGCACAGATTTTGAGTGGAATTGTCGTTATCCCTCTTCTTGGACTGATTCTCTCGTGGCCCGTCGGGAACATCGACCGCCAATCGTACACTCATCGCCGATGGGCTCGATCACGGGTCCACGGCGGAATCCAGAATTTGAGCAAACGCTCCCCTCCCCCGAGGCTTGAGGTAGACGGGGGGTTTGGGCGATGTCGTGGGCCGTGTTCGTCTTGCTCTCGTCTCGCAGCAGGACAAGGGGGGAGCGAAGACAGGACGAGGGGGAACGGAGACAAAACGAGCACGACGAGTACTGCGTCGCTCGAGCCCTGTCCTTCGCCGCCCATTGCCCCCCCCTCCTTCCCCCCTCCCTGAGCTCCCCGCCATTCCCCGTCCTCTCTCCCCCCCCGACTCCCCTCCCCCCTCCCCGTCCTCTCCCTCCCCCCCCCCGCCTTCCTCTCTGAGCTCCCTCCCTCCCCCGCCCCTCCATCAACGCCCCTCCTCCGCCCTGCCCCCTCGCTCCCCGCCCTTGCGCCCTCGCTCCCCGCCCCCCCCCGCGCCCACCCCTCCCCGCCGCCCCTTCCTGCCCCGCTCCTCGGGATGAGGAGGGGGCGGTAGAGGGGCTTCGGGCGATGAGCAAGCTGCAGCGTGTCATGTCAGCATGCGCACGCCGTGCGCAACTTGCACTATGAACGCCCAGGAGGAGGAGGAGGAGGAGGAGGAGGAGGAAGAGGAGGACGAGGAGGAGTAGGATGAGGAGGAGGAGGAGGTGGAGGAGGAGGAGGACGACGAGGAGTAGGAGTAGGAGTAGGAGGAGGAGGAGGAGGAGGAGGAGGAGGTGGAGGAGGAGGAGGAGGAGATGGAGAAGGAGGGGGAGTCGAATGACAAACAACTGCGCGCATATTTTTCGGAGGTCCGCCCAGGTTTCTTCTTTGATTGGCGCTGGACCCCCCCCTCCATGGCGCCCTCGCGCTTCTCGCCCGTTCGCCGTCGCACCCAGTGTGAGCCAGACGGAATGTCGCACTTGTTCGGGCGGACGGAGCTTCTGCAGTAGTTCGTTCTGGCGCCACGGAGCCACTGCAGCAGTTGTTGTTGTCGCTGATATTTGCTTTAAGTCGGGCCTGCCCCTCTACAGGAGGAACATTCGAACACAGTAGAACAACAGTCGGGGTAGACTTGTCGATCATGTTCGCTTGTTACCCAACCATCCTGTGGTGCTGGGTCCTCGTTTTGAATAGACAGCGCCCGCGTCCTCCTCCCTTCTCCTCCCGCTGCCTCCCCTCCTCCTCCTCCACCTCCTCCTCGTCCTCCTCCTCCTCACCCTCCTTGCCTCTGCCCCTTGCATATCTCTGTTTCGGCACACCCCTCACGCGGTTCGTGGCCCCATAGGGAGCTCCACCGAAGGCCCCAGTGGCAGCGTTCGCATGCAGTTCCACCCTCATTTCGGCGCACCCTTCACGCGGTTCGTGGCCCCATAGGGAGCTCCACCGAAGGCCCCAGTGGCAGTATTCGCATGCAGTTCCACCATCATTTCGGCGCACCCCTCACAGCGTTCGTGGCCCCATAGGGAGCTCCACCGAAGGCCCCAGTGGCAGCGTTCGCATGCAGTTCCACCCTCATTTCGGCACACCCCTCACAGGGTTCGTGGCTCCATAGGGAGCTCCACCGAAGGCCCCAGTGGCAGCTTTCGCATGCAGCTCCACCCTCATTTCGGCAAACCCCTCACAGGGTTCGTGGCCCCATAGGGAGCTCCACCGAAGACGGTACCCACAAGTGCGGCACTGCACACATATATATATATATATATATACATATACATATATATATATATATATATGTATGTATATGTGTATCCAATGTCCGCCTGTAGGAGGACACGCCCGACCTAATACTTGTTATCCCGCCCCGGCCGCGGGCGGCGTGCACAGCAAGAGACGCGGCACAGCAGGCGGCACATGGCACGGCGCGGCACAGGGCACGCGGCACGGCACACGGCGCGGCACGGCCCACGGCACGGCGAAGACCTGGTTCCCGCATTGCTGCGCGGCACTTGTGGCGCAGGTGGGGCGCGGCGACGGGCGATTGCAAATCGATGCAACGAGGTCCCCATGAGACAAGGGCCCGAGGTTCAGGAGGAGCAGGAGGAGGAGGAGGAGGAGGAGAAGGATCGCGCCCGCCTCCCGCCCCCGTACCCTGGTGCAGCCCGCCGCACCTCACCGCGCCACGCCGCCCCCTCGCCCGTCGATCTGAGATCGGCAGCCGCGCCGTGTGGCTGATGCGGCTTCCCGAGTCGGCCACGGAGGCGGCCGCGGGAGCTCCGCTGGGGGGTGAGTCTGCCCACCGGTCGCCGAGGCACGTACGTTTGACAGCAGGATACGTCTGCCTCTGGAGGCCCTCGCTGGGCCCCGGGGCCGCCAGGAAACGATCGGGGGTGGAGAGCCAGTCCTGGGGTAGGGGTCAAGATCTTCGGGGGTTCGCGTTGTGAGCGAAAATCTCGACGTCTGAGTTTTTGGGAGGATATGCCGATGTATCTATATCGATATATATATATATATATATATACGTGTGTATATATATACATGTACACAGGTATGCTTACACATTTGCATATATATACACATCTATATACACATGGGCATAAAGTATACACAGATCGGTGTGTGTACAGATATTTGATCGTGTGAACGTATACGCCCCCCCCCCCGGGCGCCCCGCACGTCGGGAACGTCCACTGCAAGCACACGGCACCGCCCTCCCGGGCCTCCCACGGAGCCCCAGGGGGGCAGCGACGCGGCCCAGGACGGCTCCGAGACACCCCACAGGGGCTCCCAGACTAACAGGGGCTCCCAGACGGCCCAGGACGTTCTCCCGATGGGCACGAGGCCCCCACGAGCGCCCAAGACAGTGCCAAGAGGCGCCCAAGAGGCCCCCAACACTGCCCAAGAGACCTCCAAGGAAGCCCTCGAGAGGCCCACATTATAGAACACCTTGCGGGACATGAGTGATTTGTGCGTCCTCGCATTTTCGCCTCCGATACGCTTCCGAGGCTTTTGCGCACGATCCCCAGGACAGACCCAAGATGCCTCCGAGAGACTCCCCAAGGGGGCCCACGAGACCCCAAGATGCCACCAAGACGCTCGAAGAGGCACCCACGAGGCCCGAAAGAGGCTCCCAAAAGGCTCCGAAAAGCCCTCAGGAGCAGGTCAAAAGGCCCCCTCAGTCTTTTAGCAGCCCAGTGAGCGTCCAAGAGATCCCCAAAAGGCCCCCGAGAGGCCCCCGAGAACCCCCCGAGAACCCCCGAGACCCCTACGAGGCCCCAACAGACCCTGCAAGGCCCTACGAGACGCCCGCAACAGGCTCCAGGAAGGTTTTGAATGTACCCCAGAGCCCCCCCCTGGAGACTGCCAAGAGACCTCCTCTCTCCTCGTCCCTCCCTCCTGCCTGATTCCTCTCTCCTCCTCTCTTTTTCCCGTTGTGTCCATGTCCATCCTCCCTCTTCCTCATCTCTCCTTCATTCCTTCTTCCTTCCACCTCCTTCACCCAGCTTTCTGCCTTCCGGATGTTTGTTTTGTTCGACCCCTCCTCCACCCCAGAAAGCGTTTCCGCCTCTACCATCCGTCGCTTTCCGTTCCCAATTATATAGTTTTAGTTGGCTTCCCGGTTCACTCATTTCTCCCCTCCTCATCTCTCCTTTGCTAGTCTCTCTCCGCCTCCCTCTCCTTGCTTCGTGCTGCACGAAGTCGTTGGAGCCCGAATCTGAACAAATCCCGGCATTCCCACACATTCTTTAGAATTTCCAGTTCGATCCCCCCTCCATGTATACTTGTGCCTAGCGCTGTCGTGCTGAAGACTTCGGTTCCAGCTCCTCCATTCCGCGCCCTCGGGTCTTCCTTCTCTTTCTTTATTTATTTAATCGCTTCGCTCATTCCGCCGGCCCGTATTGCGCACCGCGGTCGACTGGATGAGAGGTCGTCGGCAGTGCGGAGCTGCAGGGAGCGGGGGCTGTTTTTTTTGTTGAGTCGTTGCGTTCGGCCTTTTGTGGTGAAGATGCCCCGGTGGAACAGGTTCGTGTCGATTCGTGGCGACCGTCTGTGGGGGTGGCGGGGGAATCGTTGGTTCCACGGGGTTCTAGGTTTTGCTGCCCTGGGGTGTGCCTGGCGCGTTTGTGGGGGCTCGTTGCCCGTGGATGCCCCTGCGGGGGCCTTGAAGAAAGCGTGGCTATTGCGACAGTTGTGTTTCTCGACGTGGGAGGGAAAAAGAGTGTGTGTGTGTGTGTGTGTCTGTGTGTGTGTGTGTTTTGAAGGAAGGGGGGGAAAGGGGGCGGTCGCAGTGTAGAGGGGCGACAGTGCAATGGCGAGAAAAGGAGAGGGAAAGGGAAGCAGGAGGGGGAGGAAAAGAAAACGGAGGAGGTGGGGGAGGAGGAGGAGGGGGCGAAGGGGGAAGGGCGGCACGTCTGGGGACGTCGCGTTTTGGATTCCCTGGATTGCAGAACCCCTTGAGTCACGAAGAAATCGCGACGGAGGGTCTGTCGCTTTTCTTGACCCCTGGGTGCTTTTTGACGAACCGGACGGGGGGGATGGGTCGAGGTTTCTGGGGAGCCCCGGGAAGGGGCGCAGACCGCTTGGGAGCTGGGGAGCCGCGTTGAGAACGAATCGCGGCGTCGGATGTCTGGGTTATCCGAGTCCGAGACCCCCTCGAGTCATGCAATCGCGACGGAGGGTTTCTCTATGTATTTTCGGCCCCTGGGGGCCTTTTGGAACCTCCGGCCCCGGAGCATGGGTCCAGACCTCTAGGGAGCCCCCGTGAAGGGGCGCAAACCGCTGGGGAGCCACGTTGAGAGCGAATCGCGACGTCGGATGTTCGGGTTATCCGGCTCCGAGGCCCCTCGAGACATGAAGAAATCGCGACGGAGGGTTTCTCTACATTTTCGGCCCCTGGGGGCCCTTTGGAAAATCCGGTCCCGGGGCATGGGTCGAGACCTCTGGGGGCCCCCGGGAAGGGCATAGACCGTTGGGGAGCCACGTTGAGAACAAATCGTGACGTCGGATGCTTGGGTTATCCGTCTCCGAGACCCCCTCGAGTCATGAAGAAATCGCGACGGTGAGTTTTTCGCTATTTTTGGCCCCTGGAGGCCCTTTGGAAAAACCGGTCCCGCGGCATGGGTCGAGACCTCTTAGGGGTCCCCAGGAAGGGGCACAGACCGATGGGAGCCACGTTGAGAACGAATCACGGCGTCGGATGTTTGGGTTACAGTCGGCCCTGATTGGTAGGTCGATCATGCCAAATCGAGGGTAGCTTGTCCTGTCGATCACGACCTCATGATGCAACCCGCATCTCCTTCGGTGCTCTGGGGCCACGCTGCCGTCGGAAGAGTCTGGTGGGTGTCCAGTCCAACCAAGTCTGACTGTAGCCGAATGTGTGCTTACCGTGCTTATAGGAGGCGGAGAAAACCATCTCTGAGTTGAACCGGGCGGGACCTTCCCAGGCGGCGGGCGGGGTACTTTTCGCCGGGGGACCCCCAGGGGCCGCCCCGCGCGCGCGAACTAGTACAATATACAATTGTTAACCAGTTACCGGAGATCTTACCACGCCTCTGGCCCGTTGGGCCGGCGAACCTGCCTGAATCCAGTGACGCGCTCTCCCGAACATCGGCTCAGAATCGAGCCCCGGGCTTCCAACGTGGTCCGTCCGGCTCGGCTCTTTCGCCCCGGATCGATGTCTGAGGGCCCCAGGGCCCGACATTCGGGTGAACGTAAAGGGGGGTGGCCCAGACGGGGGGTGAACTCGGACGGCCTCGGAGGCGGCGCAGAGGAGGTCTGAAATGAAATGTGATTCAATCGTTTCGCTCACTCCGCTTGTCCATATTGCATGATCGCGCCGTGGTGGGCTAGCCGAGTTTTGGGGCCTGTTGAGGGCCGTTTTGGGGCCTCTTGGGGCCTCTTTTGGGCCTCTTGGGCGCCTCTTGGGGCGTCTTGGGGGCCTCTTGGGGGTCTCTTGGGGCCTCTTTGGGACCTCCTGGGCGGCTTCTGGGGCGGAGGGCTCGATTTTTCAGTTCTCTGTATCCCTCTTGAGCCCCTCTTGGGCCCGTCTTGGGGCCTCTTGGTCCGTCTTGGGCGGCACTTGGGCCGTCTTGGGGGCCCTCTTGGGCCGTTTCGGGGCCGTCTTGGGAGCTTCGTGGGCCGTCTTGGAGCGATCTTGGGCGCCTCTTGGGTCGTCTTGGAGCGTCCGGAAGCCGAAAAAGCCAGAACGCAAAAAACATCGGAAAAACCAATGAAAATCAACGATTTTGGCCTCTTGGGGCCCTCTTCGGAGGCCTCTTGGAAGGCTCTTGGGGCGTCTTGAAGGCCTCTTCGGCTGTCTTGGGGGTCTCTTGGGCCGTCTTGGGGTCATCTTCGGCGCCTTGGAGCGCTCTTTGAACGTCTCGGGGGCCTCTTGAGCAATCTTGGGGGCCTCTTGGGGCACTCTTGGCGCGCTCAGGGCGGCCTGAGAGGCCGCACCCAGAAGGAAAACCATCTCTGAGTTGAACCGGGCGGGACCTTCCCAGGCGGCGGGCGGGGTACTTTTCGCCGGGGGACCCCCAGGGGCCGCCCCGCGCGCGCGAACTAGTACAATATACAATTGTTAACCAGTTACCGGAGATCTTAGCACGCCTCTGGCCCGTTGGGCCGGCGAATTTCTTTCTCTCTCTCTCTCTCTCTCTCTCTCTTTTTCTCACATTCTCTCCTCTTGTTTGTCCACTTCCTTTTCCCGTTACAAATCCCTTTCCCTCTTCTTCCCCTCCACGTCTTCTCGCCCTCGACACGGTTGCCGCCGCGGTTCCCGTGGTGCTTTTCGCACTAATGAGTGTTCTCACCTTCTTGAATTCCCAACCGCCCGAGACTGACACAGATGCCTCCAACTTTGCCCCATGAATCCCGAGCAATTCCGCCGATGGTCCGTACACGGTTTAACTAAGGCCTAAGGCAGCCCACGAGGTTTCCATGGCTACCCTGGAGCCACGCAAGACCGTTCGGCCGACCGCGTGTTATTGCCGCAGGCTCCGCAAATACTTAATCTCGTGTTCTTGCGACAGGCTCCGCCAATACTTCGCCATGAATACTTGACGCTTCGCGTATCCCCACCAGGTCTCCTCTTCGGCCAATTATCTTCGTTTCGCGCCCCGTTCGATGCCCCGCTTCTTGACCTTCGCCTTGGAGCCGCGAACCAAACAAGTATCCCCACCAGCCATTTTCACTGGGCACAGAGACCTGCCCACTGTGGTAAGGTGCTTGCGCCTGAAAATGCGTTGGCCACTCGAATGTG